TATTTAATGTGCAAGAAAGGTAGTACAAACATTTAACAATGTTATTCATGTTGTTACAGAGTTGGTTAAGCCTTTTCAGAGCCATTATCTACATTGTTTTACATTGTTTATTCTGAGCCATTCCGACCCTCTTATTGTTATTGGTTTAGTGTCAGTCGTAGTGGTAATAATAATAAGTATATGAACAAATTTTAATACTCACCCACTGCAATACTCAGTCAGGATATTTCGGCTCCATTCCCCTGAGCCCTGTTCACACCATCGTAACAAGGGAGTGTGTTTTCAGGCCAATGTCGTCGTCTATTGCTGATTTTACGCAGGCCAGTTACAATCAAACGTACGACTCACTCAGCAGCTTGTATATGACGTAATCACATCACTCTCCCGTGTTTAATTGTTAGTTGAAAACAATAACAACGCAACTGAATGTCATGAGTAAAATAATGATGAAATGGAATTAAATAAACCAATAGAGCTAAAGCTCCGACTTCCCGGTACTTTTGTTAACGTTCTGTTCCCCCACTCGTCTTTCTGATTTAATTCGGATCCCCTCTCCTTATCCTCTCTGCTTCATTAACCTGTCTAAGCATTGCATCCCCGCTATGCTTACTACTGTAATTACATTAACTTTAACACCTTTCATTTTTCCCTGGTGTTTTTCCATCATATTATGTAGGTAAAAAGGTGAGCTCTTATCTTTCTTCTTATATTTCCCTATATGTTCGTTATATCTTTCTCAGGCTTCTTGCCGTCTCTCCTATAGCATCGTTGCTTCTTGCCGTCTCTCCTATAGCCCCTCGTTGCTTCCTTTAGGTCCACTGCATTGTATTGTATACACCACTTCTCTCGGTTTACAATTAACCTCGCCTCCTTCTTTGCGTATGGAGCACTTGTCTCCCACACATCTCATTTTTTCGAATGGATTGGACTTCACTAATATGCTCTTGACATTTTCTCCTGATCTCTCAATCACTTTGATGTTTAATCTACTAGACTTCATTATTCTAGATCAGGGACGTGGGAGCCGCCCCCCACATCCCTTTGTACACATTTTAAAGCTTATTCTTGAGCCAATACAAATCCTTTCCTGGGATCACTCAAAATGAATACTTCTATAACATTTAAATATGCATCAGTACACGTTATACATAGGCCTAATAGAACACATAGGCCTAAGCGTGATTTAAAAAAATCTTAAATCCATAAACCTCAGGCCAGGTCTTTTAAGATAGGAATGCGATACTGTGGTTCAATTTCGTTTTTATCCTTTTTCCACCTCTCTTCTCTCATCTGGGGACATTATATGGCCTTAGAAAGGACCATATAAGACGGAGAAAGAACATGGACCTCCGTTAAAACCGGTATGCGGTGCGAATACATCATGCAACGCCAGACTCTCAAGCTTCCTTTCACAGCTACTACGCCCCCTAATAGAGAAAGGAAAACAACCTATCAGAGCACCGAGGACCACCTCTTTGAAATAAATAGGTGCAATGACACGTGTGATCTGAGATCATGTATAGTTCGTAGCATAGATGTTAGAGCTCTATACCCGGGGCGGATTTATGAGGGGCGGCCCCGCCCCCTCCACTTTTGGGAGGTAAAAAAAAAAAAAGAAAAATATTTCGAGGGGGCGTTCCCCCGGACACATAGGTCAGGGTTGTCTCGATCGGCCCAACTTTCGGCTCCCCCTTTTGGACATCTCTGGATCCGCCCCTGATACCCTTCGATTGATGTAGATTTTTCAGCGGAAAGGTGTGGAGAGTAATGGAAAAGAGCGATTTACAGTTCACAGATATAGATGTGAAAGAACTGGGATTGTTTCTGAGTTTAATAGAGGCCGATACCAAAATGCGAGTGGTATCCCAGGATCTCCGAGAATTCTGCCCCGTGCGTGGAAAGCTTGGACGCCCCGGCCGCCAACTTTCACAGGATCAGGTGGAAACCCCAACACAGAAATGAGATGGAATACATGGAGAGGACCAGAGAGTAACCCCAATCGCAGAGATGTAAAAGCGATGATCGTCTAGCTATGGTAGGAACGTTCAAACGTTATGACGTTGTAAAATTAGGTTATAAGTACGTTCTACAAAATAACGTTTACCAAACTGTAACGTTATTATAAAGTTCTTATAACGTAATATTAGGGAGTTTTCGCCGCACGACGTTAACCTTAACGTTAACGGATGACGTCATAATTTAGTCATCTTGCGTTGCGGAGTACTACGTAAATTTCAGGATTTTACATACCCAACTTTCGTTAGTTACGGGTTTGCGCATGCGTATTTCGAATTGTTTACAAAAGGGTGGGGGAATCTATCGCGTTGCATGTTAGGTATTAACGTTAAAGTTAAGGTTAACGCATAGAGATAAAATAAGAATACTAGAGGAGCGCTAGCCGCAATGTATTCGATGTTCGAAATACGCAGAACTGTGTGTGTGTACCATCCAAGATGGCTGCCATAGATTTAGCCAATCAAATTTCGCTAAGCACCATCGTTTGTTTAATAGCTCTATGGGTTAACGCAAAGAGTATAACGTCGTCGTGCGGCGAAAACTACTTAATGTTACGTTATATGAACGTTATAATAACGTTACAGTTTGGTATTAAAAACGTTATTTTGTAGAACGTACTTATAGCCTAATTTTACAACGTCATAACGTTTGAACGTTCCTACCATAGCTAATGTTAGCTGGAAGGACGCAAGTGCATTTTAATGTGATGGCAAGGCGAGCCTGCTGAAAAACGGTCATTATCTGGTTGTTTATTTTTTTCATGGCAGTGACACTATTGAATCCGCCATAGTCTCCACCCAGTTGTTTTTAGGCGCGGGTTCCAGAACTTCGCACCGTTCGCCATGGCCAGTGTACCAGATAAAATATTTTTTAAATAGGCCTATAAAGGTAGGGCCTTGTGGTCGGCGAATTTCAACTCCCCTTTCTTTAAAAAATGCCACATGCCTCAACGAAAGACAACAATAGATAAAATAAATGTAATTACTTTTTTTGCATTGTCTCCCATATTAATTCAAAAGTGACTGTCGGTGGCGCGATTTACTGTGAAAACGTACACTCTTGAGCTTTTTATTCTGATTTGTCACAATCAAGAATCATCCACACGGAGTTGCGTTGATTCTTAAACACTTATTGAAAGACACATAGAATTTTATATTTTGTTATTTCAAAATCACAGTAAAGCGAAAACCTTCCACAAAGGGGCGTGGCCTTAAAAGACGTTCGATGATCGAACGCCGTGTGCAGCGTGCATGTTCGAGTTTTGAAAGCTATTCGAATTCGAATAGGGCGCCCCCTATTTCGTGGCCTACTTTGTTCAACGTTCCACTGCCTCCTGCCTTGCTCTTGCATACAAAATTATGGCAGTCGAACCTCTTGCAGTATTATACTATTTGATGACACCAAAGTACTTGTGGGAGTTAAAAATAGCTAAATCGGATCCATTTGTAGAATATGTTTTGCCTGATCTCCTTCTAGTTACGGAACGAGCAATTCTAAATATTGTACATTTTGCCGAGCTGCGAGTCATTCCAACCCTCTCACTCCATTCACAGATAAGGTAAAGGTCTTGCTGCAGAATAAATTCATTATTAGAATGGGCGGCCCTATACAAAACAGTATCGTCGGCATATACAGTAATGTTAGAATTAATAAAATCAGGAAGATCGGCAACAAATAAATTAAAAAGTATAGGTGTAATTTTGCCCTACCCGACGTGGAAATTTACTGAATACTCAGTACGTGTGAAAACAATTGCAAGTTCTCGGGTGGGACTCGAACCCACAATCTCCAGATCACTAGCCTGGCATCATACCTCAGACCACCGAGCTTGCGCCTGATGGCCAGGGTTGAATTCGAGTCCAAGTAAGCAGCGGGTACTGCAATGTTGATAGGCCTAGTAATTGTTATTGTCATGATGGAATAGACAATGACTGGATTTGCGTCAGGAGAATCAAGTAGGCCTATAGGTGTAATTTTTGGATTTTAAAAGAGGTCGCCCGAGGTGGTTCTTACCGTGTAGGGTGACCTTGCTGGTGGTTGTTCGTCAGAATAGATAGATGAAAAAAGTTGGTTAAAAGCTTTAGAAATTAAATTTGGATCGTCAGTAAGTGATCCCTCAACAGTAAATTTGGAAGCCGATGGCTTCGCTTTACAGGTACGAAAATAGGACCAAAATGCTTTACCATTTATTCGAACATTTATCAGCAAGTTCAGCGATATATTTGTGGTTAGCAATTTTAATTCTAGACTTTAGTTGATTTCTATAAACTTTATAGGCATCCCACTGACTTCATAGGCATCCCACTGACTTTATAGGCATCCCACTGACTTCATTAGCTGTTTTCTGCGCTCGTACATAAGTGTAAGTTAGTAATAACATCGTTAAAATCATTATAATTAACTTTCCATAATAATGTACGGAAAAGCCAGTGGTGGATTCAAGGTCCAGTTGCCCCCACCCCCGCCTATTAATAAAAAATGGATGTAAAAACAAAATTATATTCAAAATTAAGTCTGAGCGTGCCATTTTCGGCCATTTATATTCTAGAGGTACCATCATCATGAATTTTCTACCACAATTTTCTATATATCCTCCAACTGTGAAAGTCGCTCCCTGGGCCGCTCCATTTCAAATTCCTTGATCCACCACTGAAAACTATGAAGTCGGAGTGTATTCATTCATTAAATAGACGTCTCAGAATGCAAGAAAGTTCATTTCCAAAAATTAAAAATTTCCGAAGGAGGACCACCGGCTAAAAAGGTCTTCCAGCGACAAAACAACCACAAATTACTCTCTTTTCTCACGATCCGACCACCAATGAACCCATCTATGCGCGATAGTCAGGGCATGGTCAGGGTAAACTTTGGATCTGCGTCTGGTTTTGAATAAGGATCACACATAACAAACGCATATTCAAGTCTCGGTATAATAATTGATTTAAAAGCAAGGTCTTTAATGTGACGTATAAAACCCAGCATTTCATTCGCTTTGGCGATAATTTTTGTTTAAAATATGCAAATTCCATTTAAACAGAACTAAACTAAACTTAAACGTATGTTAATTCCTAGGTAGGTGTGATCCTTGGTTTCATTAAGCACTGTACTTGTCGATTGTTTAGTTATATTTGTGTATAGTTTTTTGCATGATTGATTCTCATGACGCTGTATTCCTTTGGATTGACTTTCATTTGGTTTATCCTTTCCCACACAGTAAAAGTATCAATAACCTTTTGCAAATCACCAGTATCATGAGACCCAGTTATGACTATAAATCAGAGACGTGGGAAGTATGTTGGTAATAATGTAGTTCACGAAGACCATGGGCCTGTAACCGTCCCCTGAATGAATATTTTCCATCGATTACAAAACTTTGTTTACGTTTTGTAAGGAAAGCTTCGGTCCATTTAAGGGTCTTCAAATTTATTCCATATAAATGCATTTTTCGAGGTTTCTAGTGCGAGACAAATCCATTTGTTCTTTATTATCAAAACTTAAAGCAATACCGATATATTGAATTGTGTTTATAAGTAAGTTGAGATCAAGAATGGACTTATTCGACTGGTTCATTTCGTTGAGTACGAATTTTCATTGAGTATTATTTTCATTCGACTGGTTCGTAAAAGAGACTTAGTTGACAAACGAAAATTTCAGGCATTGAAGTCAACAAAATAATTGTAGGCTAACAGAATTCAAAAACTGGATGAAAACTTTTTTTTTAACTAAAAACCCACAATCCGAAGCAGCCTTGATTATGCAGCGTGTATCGCGGTAACTATGCAGCCATTTTGTTTTGTCGAGTAACCACTGTTTCTGTTCGACTGGTCGTTTTCGTTAAGTAGGATTTTACCACTGCGCAGGTGGGCGTGGTTTAACGAAGAAAGACCAGTCGAATATACGGCCAATGTCTTTTCCGCACGCCATGTTGGGTTTCGTGAATAATGTTATATCTGTGTAAGTGTTTCATAACATATATATTTGATTTAAGGATGTGTTCAAAGATTTTACAACAAACTGATGTTAAGTTGAATACCGAGAATGGTTATTAAGAATCAACAACAGCATACATAAACTGTACATCCATTTTAAAACACTTGGAATAAAGCAATCTTACATTTATTATTTCATTTCTTAATTTTCCTCGAGAGTTATTTAAATACCACTTTTAGTGCTGGTCTTCATTTAGATGAATTCTAATTAGAGACTAAAGCTGTTAAAGACCACTAAAACCCCGGTCCGAAAAGTGATATTTATGGTATAAAAGCATAGGCCTATATTTGACGTAGAAAGACTGTTCTACAATGCACAACCATAAAATAACGTGCTTCAAACAAGCGACCATTTTGAAGGGCAAAAACATTATTATATTGCTTCACCTGGATTTAGCGCACTCATCTACGCTAAACGCTTATAGGCTTGGTCTACATGTGTCGGTATTTCTAAAGGCAAAACTCAAGTTATTTTTTGGCTTCTAAAGTCTTCTTATCTTTTCCATACGACTGTGTTGTAACCCCTTTGTATCATACTATTCTTATAAATATTCTTTAAGGAACAAATTAAGAGTAAAATAAAATCTGTGAGTTTGCAAAAACACTTTAACGATAATCACTTTATTTTGTTGTTAAATAAAAATAACAACAAGAAGACTATCAATGCCATGTCTTTAAATATATAACAACAAATGCTGATTTGATATTCGTGATTCCTACAGGAAAGTAGTCAAATTATCGATAAGACTTGGGATTTCTATGCCGCCATTACATAGGCCTAGTAATATAGGCCTAAAATATTAAATCTCAACATTATACTTTGCACACGGTGGATTATGATATTTCAATTTGTATGCAAACGATATCGTTTACTCATTCTAGGTATGACAAACCTTTTGTATTTTGCTCTATTTAGCCTTTTATATGTAGAGAAAAGTTTTAATTGAAACAGGTGTTCTTTTGTCATTTTGAAGTTAAGGGTTTTTGAAAAACAAGCTATTCAGTAATAGACGTGTTTGGCCACAGCGCGGACGTAATCTGAACGACTAAAACAAAATATCACAAGTATGGAGTCAAAAGAAAAACCAGTCTTTGATGTCTATAGTGAGATCGAGGCGATCAGAAGGTACAAACCAGCTTCCACGTTCACATTTCCGAAGCTTGAAATCAAAGACTATCCGGAAAATCTTCCAAGTGGACTTGTCATCACATTGATTGGCCCACAGGGTTCCGGAAAATCGTCGCTGGTGAATTCTCTCAATTACGTGTTCCAGATGCGTGGTGGGATGTCAGCTCCGCGGTATTTGGATATAGCAGCAGAGGGACCGCGTGATTACCATGGAGGTGGCACTACAAAAGATTTTAACGGGTATTATCTGACGAAAAATATCAAAGTGTTTGACATCCGTGGCTTGCCGTACTTGTCTGAAGAATTTTCACAAGAGGTTGAGAAGTTGTATGGTAACATATTTAACTATATTATCTATCTATCTATCTATCTATATATATATATATATATATACTAATGATTTCCTTATCATGTGACACTTTTAGACGGGGCGTACAATGACGGCGAAGAGGTGAAGTATGAAAAGAAGAGTATTCCACAAGCGTTCAAGGGATTGTTCACCAACGAAGCAAGCAAGACAAACTGCCCAGTGGTCGTCTTGAGGTAATGTAGCATTTTAATCTCTTCCACTATACAATTTGACATCTAACATGAGTGTCACCAACCAGGTAACATTTTACGTTATAGTAATAACGTTGCTAAAACTTTATGTTAAGTTATTTCTGTCATATTAATCACAGTGTTTGTGAATGTTATATTATTCTTCCGTTGGAAATCTTTTTGGTAACGTACTGAAATATAATAACGATTCTCAATAAACCCGTATGTTCATTAAACTTTGGTGCCAAGATATAGAACCATATACTGTACCAACATAAAGTATTACAAAGGTCTTAGACCAGGGGCGGATTTAAGGGCTGTCTCTTATACACATCTAGATGTGGCCGGCTCCTTTTGGAAGATAAAAAAAATCCCTAGTGTGGCATTATCTCGATCGGCCCCATTTTCGGCCCCCTCCCCTTTTGGACACCTCTGGATCCGCCCCTGTGGACGCGGTTCCCGGGTTACTATTGAAAACAATAAATTGAAAAAAAACTAATGTCATAAACAATTAATATATCCGTTATTATACAGCTAATGCTATGGCAAGGGAACTGGCAAATCAGAATTCTACCTAAAGCATATTCGATTTCTTTTTGCAGTGCTATAGATAAGGATTTGGTTGATGAAATCGAAAATCTGCAAGGGTTCTTTGCAAAAATTAAAGAGGCAACATGTAAGTATATAATCAGTTTTTGAAGAAAACTGATAGAATTATGATAATAATATTTGTTAAGTTGTAGAAAAACGTCCACACATCATACGGTAATGATCATACGAAATTCACTGTTCTGCAGTCTTTAAAAAACGCATCAATTTAAATATAATATTTTATATAAACCTTTTCCGGAAACACGTTACCACAACAAGAATATAACTATATCAAAACTGGCTCATTGTTTGAACGCAGTCGTAAAAATAATATAAAGGTTAATTTGTTGTAATGATACAATGACTGAGATTGACGTTGCACGCCGACGCAGGAAGTACTGGGTAGTAATATAACACGTGATAACTATGAGATTTTGTTTGCAATTTCCCAGCTGTTTACCCACTTGTCGTGCTCACAAAAGAGGACTTGGCCTTACAGAGAAACGAAGATGTGGCCTCACTTGACGGAATGATACGCAGTAAACTTGGAGTTGAACGCGTTACCAGGATCAGCAACTATACAAAGGAGGACCACCACCCGAATGAGGAAAAAACCAAACGAATTATTGAGTTCATGGGTCAATGCACCCTCCTGTGCGACAGCATTATAAAGAAGAAGAGCCACGAGGGAGGATGTGTTGTCATGTAAAAGGACAGGAAAAATTTAATATGGGTGTACGAAGTATGTTTATTATGTTTGACAGATTGTAGTAAGTCACAGAATTTTCAAGACACTACATTTAGAGATGGACCACCAATAAAATGTGAATACCCTATTAAAATAATATTTATTTATATATTTATCTTTTTGCATCTATATCAAGAAATTAAATTTCCGGTTCTCTGTTTTCCTTTCAAAACGAAGATATACAAAATTTATATTTCGGTGATAGAGGAATTCTAGTCTCTTATTGGCTAGCTTTATAACCATTAATGCATGGGTTATTTAATATAATATTGCTATATTAAACTATTAAGCATAATATCTATATTTTTATTATCATAATTATAAAGGTTAGTGTAAATTAATTTAGAATTGTATAATAATAAGGTATGAATTGTTCATGTTTTGAGTAAAAAGGGTTAAAGTCAGGCTCCAGAAAACAGAAATGTTTGATACGTTGTACAACTAATTTTTCTAAGACACAAAAAGCATTTTAACGAAAAAAAAAACTCTGGAGCAGTCAATGAAATACAGATTTTAATATTTCAATACTGGGGCAAAAAGGTGAGAGAATGGTTACACCCCTCCCTCCCTCTCCCTCCCACCCGTTTTTGAAAATTCAAAAATCTGTATCTCAATAACCGGTTCCGAGTTTTCGTCAAATATGTTTTTTGTGTCTTAAAGTATATTCAACGATTACTTTGAAACAGCACTACAAACGCTCGAAGCGAGCCCAGTTTTACTTTTCTCATTGTGAGTAGTTGCTGTGCTCGTTGGTAGCGCTGTATCAAACAATTTGTCACTGTGGCAAAGCCAAACCTAGTATAGAAATTATACTACAGAAGGCCACCAATAGAAAAATATAGCAAGAGACTGAGAAAATCACGAATGATGATGGCAGGCTATCACACAGATGAACGCGGGTACCTATTTAGCAAGTAACATATGATTTATCTATAAGCCATGAAATCAATTGATGTTTGATACATGGATAGCATAAAAGCTTCAAAGAAACTGATGCAAGTTAACATTATTATATATAATTCATTTATATTCAGCAAGACTGTTTGGTGTCCTTTTCATGAGATTTACCAATAACATCTTTTCGAAATGAAGATGAAGGATTCCTACGTGAGCAATGTTAATTTAAGTCCATGCTTATAACAGAAGTGTGTTTTGTAAAAGCATTATTACACAAGTCTTAATACCAAAGTTGTGAGCTTCAGCTATCTGGTGTGTGCTGGGTAACTTCACATGACTTTACCTAGTTAAAAATATTATTAACAGTACAGTATGTTGAACCTGGTCGGATCAACGAAGTTTATTTTTCCGATTTATTATTATTATTTTTATTATTATTATTATTATTATTATTATTATTATTATTATTATTATTATTATTATTATTATTATTATTATTATTTATTATTATTATTATATATTGGTATTGTTGTGTAAAGGTCTAATATCAAAGTATTTTCATGAAGGTCGGTGTTAATCTATTATTATTGTTATTGTCGTTTTTATTATCAACAAGAAATGTATCAAGCTTTCAGACAGCCTGAAATTCATAATTATGATAGTGTTGCATGACAGGATAATTCTTTTAAATCTGACTTATTTCTAAGGTGCCGTTTGCTTGATACTGAAACTAAGATTTTAAAATTAGAACCACTGGGCGGAGGAGTATTTTTTATTTATCGAAAAGTTCATAAGTGTGAATTTCTACTTCTTTTACGAAGAAATAAACCTTCCATTTTTAATTTTAAACATAAATCCATACCTATGCTATGATTTGTAAGATTCTTCTGTAGTTTTGAAGATAGATTGTGACACCATGGCATTGACCCTAAATAATGATGATAAAATATAGGCCTACTTCTAGTTAAGTTCTTTGTTAAAGTTCTATCTACAGGATAATACTTTCATAGCGTATATATTTGAAATAATTATTATCGTATAGGCAGGTAATTTGTGTATATTTCGGGATACATACAATGGTATACTACAATATTAACGTAACTAAACTTCAAAATGGAACTCTCAATAATACCACAATAAAACAAGATCAAGTTGATGAGATCACAGGCGACTAAAATCAAATAATTGTACCGTGATATATTTATAGGAGACATATTTGTTTGTTTTTGAGTCCTCTGATATTCAGACCTATACATGCATACCTATGTGTGGCCCTACATATATATCATCATTCACATAACATAACAGTTTATATCTTATTCGAGGAGATTGAATTTGCTGAAAATATTGCACGACAGATGGCGTGCTTATAGATTGTGACGTCAGACAAGTTAAATAATAAGAGATTCAATGTCTATTAGTGCCTTCATTCACTCTAACGCCTTTAATGATAAGTAGTTATGCAATTCAACATAAGCGGATGGTCCTGGAACAGTGGCGGCTCTAGGTATATTTTCTAGTGGGTCTGAGCTGTCCGACAGGGGGACTTGAGCTCGTAGGCCCAAGCTGGGGGTAGGGTTTTAGAGGGTGTTTTCCATCCCAAATGAGATTTTTTAAAGGAGAGGAACCTCTTGATGGCCAGAAATGACATTCTCAGACTGTGACAGGCATGCGTTGGCTTGGTGTGGGCCTATTTTTATATTTTTTTTAGTCCGACTGCCCGACGAGCTCTGTCAGATGGTGGTGGTGGGGGGGGGGGGACTTAATAAAGTTTTGGCAAAATTAACGTTTAATAGTCCTTGCTATATACCTGATGATTATGAAGACTGACCCTTCTGGGTAACAGTTTGCATCGAACATACAATCTGATAAAACATAACAGTTCTCCTATTCTGTCAGATTCCAAAACTAGCAATAGTCTTAAATCCATTTACTGTTTTATAATGCAAATACGATACAACAAGAATAGAGGTTGGTAACACGGTCTGCTGACATTATCGCAGGGTGAGGTTTACAAATCTGATTCCAAAATTAAATCATAGACTACACAATTGACTACTAAACTGACCTCAAACAAAACATAATTAACTGCGTTACCAAATCGGGTGCCCATGCTTCTGTTTCACATATAGATAAAATTCAACAGGAGTCTCTCTTCATCTATACCAACGAGGCCTACTACCAATTATAGAGATAAATGTCGGGGCGCTTCATAATCCTTTTCACTATACTGTACCTGGGTTGCTGGTTTAATAGCACTAGTGAGGTTTCCTTCTGGTACATGAAGGTTTGATTTACAATTCCTTCCACCTCTGTATAATAATCTGAATATAATCAGAATTTCGTCATTCAGTTGCGCTGTGTGTTGAATTGTTACGGTAATCCGTCTAGTATAGTATTTCTAGTATAATACTTAGCATTGTTTCCAAACCCCACCATGATGGCTTGCGCCAGGAATATTCAAGATCCAATCACAATTCAAGTCCAACTGTTAGGCAAAAATATCATCATCATACATTCCCTTAACTCTCGTCTGAATGGAACAGTCCATCTTCTTTCAACCAATGAAAACATTATATTAGGTTACTAGTGTGCAATGGGACAACACGAATGGAACAATTCAATTCAAAGTGACATTTATTTGCTTCGTTTTCACTCAAACAAGATAAAATACAGATTCAGCAATAATGCAGGGGAAAAGGAAAAAAAGTATCTTGTGATAGGTCTGCCTGAAACAAAAAGTCAAAATGGAACTAAATTTTCATGAAGTGATGGAAATTAATATACTGTTTTGCCACGAAATGATGAAAAAACACAATGTCATGTGATATGAAATTCACTAATCAAATGACAGGGACCTATTGAGGGGTGTTATAAAATTTAATAAATCACATAGAACTTAGTTCAGCCAATATACAGCACAATCCACAGTTTGATGTTGACATAGCCTTGTTATCTGCGGATTTGGATCTTAGTTTAGTCAATAAATTATATCTTATGTATACGTAATAGGAGTTAGGTAGAGTGTACCCAACCCAAGAAGTAAATAAATAACACAGATTACCAGAAGCAGCGTTATTATGGGAATACATTGAAGGTAAGGATAATACTGTATTATGCCTGGAGGTCCAGAGCTTGCACAAAATAACGGCGCTTATTACATGTGAAATTACAGGATTGGTTGGATTGGAACTTCTCATCCTCTTGTTAGAACTATAGGCACAAAAATTATTTTGTGCACAAAACAAAAATATTACGCTATATACAGTAATCATTTTTCCTACTACACAAGTACAAGCTTTTTCTTGTCTACCTAAGAGCATTTAGGTTATAAAGTTAATATTTTTGATGGGAAATTTCAAAGTGGCCTCCTCCTTTAAGGTTAGAATTGGAGAGTGGCCTCAATAAGTCATCAGGAAAATGACGTTTAACAGAAGAAGTGCACTAAAAACACACTGCTTTATATGTTGAGACTATAACAAACGATATAATCTGCATTTTAAAGTTTACTTATTGAATTGTGGCGTTCTGAAGCAAGAAACTCCTTAACGATAAACGTTTGCCTGATATTTACTGCTTCCATTAACGTATTTATGTAAACCCTTTTTAGGAACGTATGACATAAGTTGTCTTCTGTGATATAGTTGTCGAATGGTACATATGGGTCGGTCAATGACAAACGCTTCATACACTGGTCAGTGTACAACATTCCTAACCAACTGATCACATGGTCTCTAGTTGGGATCACATGTCCGGTACACCAACTTGCACTTCTCCAATATTGTGGTTGCCACAGAAACAGGTGGAGGACATCAGCTGCAACTTCTGCTGCCAATCTCTGACAAAAAAAAAAAAAAAAAAAACACAACTGAAAATTAATTGCTGAATAAAAAATGAGAAAATATAACACTCAATTCATTTTAAATACAGTATTATATAGTTTTTCAAAATATGAAGTTCCACAAGTACTGTATTTGGATTTGAATTCATCTCGTTTTATTGTTAAACACATCATTGACAACCCAAAGACTTATTTTCAGTAGGGGTGGGTGAGATTGTCCTTAACAAATAATTATGCCAAGCATCAAGTTGGCACAAGACTACTTCATTCAAGATTTAAGATTTAATTTATTGTCTTACACATATACAGGTACAGTACATGAAATTTGATTTCCTGAGATGGAAATAAACAAAACCCTTGTTTACTGCCTTGCAAGCAGCAGACAAAAGAAAAAACAAATGAAACATGTATATTTTTATTGGATTTAGCCAAAGCCTGTTTAAAAATTTTACTCAATCTTTTCACCAATGTTATTTGTAAAGAAAAAGAATAATCCTTACTTGTTCTGTGTCCCTCTTCAATAGCATATGACTAACCAAGTGTGTAATTTTATGTTCATTATCGCCAAAACCTGGAAGGTCTGTGTCTTCGTAAGTTCTGCTATCCAAGCACTTAGTCCCTGTGCTCTGCGAGCCTGAGAATGGATTTGGAAGGCCTACGATCTCATATGCTATGGACCCAACAGCCCAGGCATCCGACTTAAAGTAACTGATAGTAGTGTGCTCCCCTGGAATGGCTAATTTAATCTACAAGAATGAAAACTCCTAAATATTATTTCAAGTTTCGCCCTAAAAAATTATACGCAAATATTACAATAAACTGCTTTTAAGCATAAATCAATGAAAGAACAACTACAGAACACATTCACAGTGCCCTGGAAAGTACCAATACATAAGAAATGCTGGAATTATCACTTGGTATTTGATACAAGCTTCACCACTCTCTCATGTGTTGAAATGACATTATTAAAACATGGACTTGGGCTATGGACTACGACTACCATAGCCCAAGGCTATGCACTTCCATTTAATTTCTTAGGTGAAGATAGGCACCATGGACAAGTACAGTAGTCCAAGGATATAAAATAAACAGCAGAGAATTTTGCCCTTTTTTAAGGATAATGCCTGCGCACAGCAGAGCAGCTTGCTCTCATAGCAGTTCACTCTAAGTGTGCATTGATTTTTCTTTTGCGAGAATCCTGCCGCACGAGACAGCGAGCAAAATATCTATATCATGTCTGATATTATTTTTATGTGACACAAAATAGTCACTGTGAATGGAATTCCTTGAGCTTAAGAACTAAATTGGTCAATCAAAACTGCTCATTTAACTGGCCTGCTGAGGCTGCTAGCAAGGCTAGCTAGTATGTAACGTTCAAAAACTAAACATTTTTCTAATCATACAAGATTCCTGCAGTCAAACAAACTTCCTCCCGAGAATGTTTCCTGAGCAAACTACCCTTGTGTGCGCCAGGCCTGAAAGCCAACATGATGCAGCAACTGCTTCTAACTAGTGAAGTGGACCATACCTCAGGGGCCATTAGAGCGCTGTTGCCTCCTCTATCAACATAAGAACTGGTGTATGGCAAATATAAGCTTCTGTCATTTTGTACCAAGCAACAGCCAAAGTCAGTAATGATCAGTTTGCAAGGGCCTACAGGAGAAACAACATCAGGCGAAAAAAATAAATTGTTTACCTTTCTTTTTTTGAAATGATAAAAAGGGGCAGGTGGAATTTTTTTTTTTTTTTTCAAGATTACTCATCAGATGGAATAAAAACAACCCACAGTTGACATATTGCAATGAATGTAGGTCTAGAATGGCAATATCTTACATCAGATAACAACTTTAAACAACTTTGTAGGGCATCTGGCAATAAAGATCAAGTCACTCACATTTCTTTTTATTCGTAAAGAAAAAAAGCTGCCCCTATTTTTTCAGTGAGTTAGGGGAGGGTGAGGAGGGCAAACAAACAATTTTTTTTAGGCTTTATTATGACTTCAAAATAAGCCACCCACACTTTTCAGAAGCTGATGCAATTCCATGAACAATGTTTCTCAATACAGTGCAGTGCGAGTTTACAGCCCTTTTGTGAGCTTGGGTCAGATATTATAAATAAACATGTGTGTTTGTGGGAAATCATGTGTGGTTGAAGGACATGTGCGTATTCCTAGCCCTGTTCTGAATGGTTAGTTTTGGTTGACACTGCGGAAATTTCCATTAGGCCCAAAGTACCAGATCAAGCCCAGGAACCTATCAATGTACACCTACCTGACTCATGGATCTCAACTAAGATATTATCACTCTTCAGATCTCTGTGAGCAATACCTTGAGATACAAGATATGTTACTCCTTCCAGTAGCTGGGCTAGCATTACCATGGCAACACGCTCAGACTGACCACCAAAACGATGAAGGTATTGCTTCAAATTCATATCATATCTAAAAGAAAGGATGATGGGAAGACATCAGTTGGCAATATAAATATATAACAATTAATTAATGCCATTTTCAACTTGACTTGAAGGACGGCAGTTAAGCTAAGTTTATGCTGGACTCAAATGAAGTCAAACAGTTGTCCGTAGCACTTACGGTCCACTCATGATTACGCCACCAATTACA